CCCCCCCCCCCCCAAGCTAAATTTTATCTAAATCTATGGTAAATAAAGTGTATCTGAGGCCATGATCACATCCTGAGGGACCTGTAGGCACAGAGGTCACTCTTCAAACTAGAACATCACCTTATAGAGGTATGGTAATGCCATGCCATTCACTAAAACAAATGAAGTTACTTGCCAATCATGTCCTGGATACAGCTCAGTTCTACCTTATCTCATCCCACAGCAGATCCAAGAAGCAGTAAGTGGTGATCTCTGCTATGGGAGATCTACAAAGGGAAACATCAAAAAATTCTTTGAACTAAATACCTTTTATCTTCCAACTGAAAGAGGCATTCATCTCATGATGCTGCTGTTCTGACTGAGCTCTTTTAGGCCAATCTATAGTCACTTTTGGATTACAGAGTTCAGCATTTACAGTATAAACCACCTAGAAATAAGCGTGCCCCTGTGGGAGGATGGCTGAGGACAGGGATGCCTACATCACTTCTTCCCCTGCTGCCGTGACATGTTAAATATTTCATTAGCATTTCTTTTAAATGTATAAGATTATGTTATTAATAGTCACATTAGTCTGTGCTCAATGAAATTTTAAGCTGTTTAAGCAGAGTAATAAAGAGTATATGGTTCCTATCAATTCCTGTCTGACTCATCTCACCCTAGCTGTTCCACACAGTCAGCCTCTTCATATTAAATCCTTCTTTTATCAGGCTTTTCTCCTGGATTTCACTACACCTTGCCACACACGCTAGGCACATGCATAACACCTGGGACAAACTGACAGCTGTTCACTTCCAACTGTATCTTAATATAAATAACAGTAGCTGCCTCTCTGAAAACCTAACAATCTTGTCTTTAACCCTCATGCAGCTCCATTACTCCACTATCTGATCACCTTGCAGTAAATACATGACTTAAAGTCAACAATGCTACGACAGAAGTGCCAGTATCCCTGTCTTGCAGCTGAGGTATACTGAGGTGAGAACAGACTGAACTGCTTGTCAGGGATCACACAAGACATCTGAGGCTAAGGTGTCTTTGTCCCAAATCTTAGACTAGGACCCTATCTGCCAGGCCACAGGGTTATTTTCTTCCTTTGCCCCTTGCTTCTGCAATTGCCTGACATCTGCAGGTTCACATTTTGGTACCTACCAGAACAGCACATAACAGGAGAAGTATTTTCAAGGGGTTGGCAAAAACACAGTGGTTTTGTGAAAGCTGTCAATTTAAAAAAAATAAACCATCTGTTTCACAGGAACAGGTAGCATTGAGATCCCTGTGCTTTGCTTACTGGTAAATGGAGGACCATGCACACTTGAGGTAAGAAGCTGTTTGCAATTTTAGAAGAATCAACTGGTGCTAAGTAATTAATGGAAAATTTGGCTGTATGACAAATACTTGTATTAGCACTTTACATAAAGTCAAAATTCATATATACACGCCATTAAGAACCTAATTCTGTTAATATTAAATTTGCCAGTACTTGTTTGGGAGAAATATTTCCTTTTGAATAGGCACCAGCTGATCATTAAAGCTTCCATTGCCAGCTTGTACAGTGGGAAGAAGGAATCCACAACCAAAACAAACCCACAGAAGCCAGCTCCAGATCTAGTAAAGCAGAAATCCTGTGCTATTACTTGAGATCACATACCAAAAAAGAAAGATTCATCATTCAATGCTGTCCAGCAGCAGTGAGACAACTGCCTCTGTCACAGAGCTCAGAGGAAATACAAGACCAGGTTTGCTAGATATGCCATTTAAAACTGTAGTGTCCTAGTTCCACTGAGCAAAAATACATTGTAGGATAGAAGGCTAGAGAGTTGCCTGCTAGCAATCACATATCTCCTTCAGTGAAGGGTCCATTTTCATTTTTTCCCAAGTAGTTCTACAACTTAAAGAACCTGTTAACTAGGAGATAGTCTTTGATTTCTATTTTACTTCTACTGGTATTTTATTTTGCTTTGTAGCAGCCTGTAGGTTTTTTTTTTTTTTTTTTTTTTTGGTATATATAATCTTGGGTGAAAAGGAATACTCTACCTTTAGAGAGACATTTAACCATAAAGTTTCCAAGTGATGAGACTCTGCCACACAAGCTGGCAACCCCTTTCAGAATGATGACTCATTTCTGGTGATGTTTTCTAGTTTCAGTTTCCAGTCCCTGTATCTTGTCATGTCTTTGTCAGCTAGACTAAAACACACACTGGTATTAGAAATCTCACTGTTTAAACTAGGACTATGTCACCTCTTGAGCTTTCCTTCTAGAAGCTAAATATGGCAGTGTGTTCTGTATCTTGGGTGTTAGAAAAAACAAAAAATTTAAAAAAAAATCTCATAGCACAACCTATAAATCCTTTTCAAAGTTTTAGAGAACAAAGTGACTTGGAGACCAAAGATGACTGGCTAGAGCTGCCCTAAATTTACAGGTGCTGGGAACAGATAACTGCACTTTTTTAGGATGTCAGTTTCTTAAATACAAATTAGATAATGCACACCAAGGGCTACAACAGTTGTTAAAAAAAAACCCAAAACAAAACAAAACAAACCACAACCTATGCAACAAGAAAATCAACAGTTAGATTCTTAAAGTCTCATGAGCTTCTTGCATAACTGGAGTAAGAAACAGATTGGCAGCAAATAGTCATTGTTGCAGTTACGATGCTATGGCGTCTGCTTTTCTCTCTCAGCAACCTGCCTTATTAATTTTAACTGCACAAATAATAGAATTATCAGCCTTTAACTCTTGTAGTGTTTATGCTTTAGTGTTTTTTTTCCTGTGGCCCAATGTTGTACCCCTACAGGCAAATTCCTGATTTTCAGAACATATCACCAGGTTTAGCAGCCAGAAGAGCCTGATGAGAATTGCTTTATAGTGCTCCTCTTGCACTTGATTATGCTGAAACACAAACTGCAGGGGAAAAAAAAAAAAAGAAAAAGTCAGGGACAAAGAAGTTTTATGCATTGTTTGTCCAAATCTACTAGCTACTCAGCAGATGCATCATGAAAAGAAGTACAGTCAGGGGTCTATACATGGATGACCTGCTATAGAGCCAGCAAAATCCTGATAGCTTAGAGGAGTCTGGATGGACTCCATAGTGAATCTGGTTTAGGTACATATTTTTTCCTAATTTGCAAGAAATCCTTCTTTTGAATAACATTTTCTTTACATATTTGAACTCTAAAATTGTACTTTTTTTTTTAAACTACAGAGAATATGCAACGGTTTGGAAAACTCTGCTCCCTGGCTTATCTTAGCAGGGTCTGGAGGTACAGCTGACATCTTATCTGCATTCATGAATGACCCACAGCTTATCATGCCAGAAGCTGTTGAAAAGCAATTTAAGGAGAAGTTTCCTGCAGAAAGCTTCTTGTGGAAGGACATTCTCCAGTGGACGGCAACAGTGAGCTCTTATGTTTGATAATCACATACATCATGTTCACAAGTTCTCTCCTACCATTTCTAGCATCAGTAATCCATTCAGTACAGGTTTGACAAGAAGCTACCCAGAAGTTTTGGGTACTCCAGTGCTCTGACACTAATGTCATAGAGTACCTTTCTAATCTTAAAATCAAGTGCTCAGTTGATCATACAAACTACTTTGTCTTAGTGATTCAGCTGAACACTTAGGGCTCTGTCCTTCCTTAATTATTTGCTCAAGTAGCAGCCAGCACCCAGGAACCCCACAGTCCTTCTGGAGGACATGAAGCATTATTTATATTCCACAGCTGTGGAGCTTGTGCAGCTGTGACAGAAGAGACCTAATTCATGATCCACAGCTGTTAAATGGAAACCTAATTGTGGATAAGCATGAATAAGTTAAAAAGAATGAAGGGTGTTTAGAAATTATCCTATCTATTGTCAGTTATATGTGTTCTTAAAAAAGAAAGACAAACCAGATTCACATATTTTCCTTACTCTTTGTCTTGAGGCACACTTGCTGGACTTAAACCACTATGCAAAAGTGTTTAAGAAACAAAAAAAAAAAACTTTGAGATTGTCTTTATGTGAGGATTGAAGAGCACTGTGTGCCTCTGCAATAAATCAAGTCCACTCGACCTGACACACTACTTCTTTGCAGTCCCTGCCATAATCCTTAGCTTTAAGAGTTCCACATATTAATTCCATTAGGGAGAACTTTGCCAGATCACTAACGCAAGGGGATGGAAGGGCATCTAGAAGCGATATTGCCGGATGCTCACACAGTCTCAGTGCAACTATGCTGCGAGAAAGAAAACTGAATAAATAGAGAAGCAGAAGAGTACTGTATATATCAATATTTGATAACTTTTACTCAAAGAAGATTTAGAGGCTATGCTTTTAAATAAACAACTCTGAGAGCAAAACTTAAATGTCAAAGCAGGAAAAGGTAAAACAAAACTAGTGATGTGCTGGCCACAGCATGACTGTGAGTCAAATAAGAATGTGAGTTAAGAAAGGATATTTTAATTAAAGCACTGCTCTCATACTCAGGATATCTAAGATCTGTTCCTCTTGTCCTGCTGGGTGATTTTAGAAAAGGCAGTAAGTCCCTCCTTGCCTTAGGACTTATTTATATATGAGAAACTAATGTTTGTCTTCTTGCCAAACCTCAGCTTTATAATTAGAATGTAAGTTTTGGGGAAATACTGTATGGGTGAGCTCCACTGGGCTCTTAGGCATTAAAATATAACAGTAGGATAATGCGTAAAATGATTTTTGTTTCAACTCCCAATAGATTCAGAACATTGTTTCACACGAACATCTTCTAACTCTGCACAACTTTGAGCAAGATGGTTCAGAAGAACTAGACACAGTCATTTTAAAAGCTTTAGTAAAAGGTAAGAACAATAAACACAGCACAGCATAATGCTTGTTTTGACTTCTATGCCATAAATGTATTTCCTTCCTGTCCAGAACAAGTTCAGTTGGCTGTTGGATCAGATTTAATTTCTGATGCAGAGTTCTTGTTTGCTTATTGACAAATTGTGGGAATTACCATACCCTTGTAACCTTGCTTTAAACTTGCAGAGTTCTTGTTTGCTTATTGACAAATTGTGGGAATTACCATACCTCTTGTAACCTTGCTTTAAACTAGTGTTTGCTTTTTAATCTCATGCTATTGTATAGTACTATTTTAAGCATTCCTTTATTTCACTACTTGCTTCTATTTGTAGTAGAGATTATAGAAGAACTGAAATACACTGGAGCAGTTACTCCAGTTACAAGCAATTTAAAAAAAAAAGAACAAAAAGAACCCCACAAGTAGACCTGAACTGCCATAGTTCCAGAAACAATCCATTTCTCCTATAAGAAATCTTCACTGTATCCTCTGAAGGAAGATATTACTTGCTCTGCCACTCATTTTAGTTTGTGCTAACTTAATTTTTTGTGTTAGCTTAAATTTAGCATGAGGGAAAAAAAGACATTATATTTCTAATGTGCTAAATGAAACAAGACAAAAACAATAGCCAATCCTGTGCCCCACTTTCTGCAGGCCATGGTCCATCTTAAAATCCTACAGACATTTTAAACTTAATGCTTTAATAAATAATTCAACTAGCAAAAATTAGTATTTATTAGTATTTCTTAAGTTAGGAAAAAACAGTGCTGTGAAGGGTTCCTGGTTAAGCAGCCCACAGATCTGTGACACCTGAAGGAGAGCTTGTACTGCTAATCAAATTATTAATACTATATTGAATTAAACATAACAAGTTAAAGTACTGAGTTTATTTTCCTTTCCTATTTTTGCCAGCCTGTAAAAGTCACAGTCAGGAGGCTCAGGAGTATCTGGATGAACTGAAGCTGGCAGTGGCCTGGAATAGAGTGGACATAGCTAAAAGTGAAATATTCAATGGTGACGTGGAGTGGAAGGTACCAGGTTTGATTGCCTTAGAGGACAATCGGTGTATAATCCAATGTATACAAGACACTGAAACATCCTGAGAGAAGGCTTCAGTCTTTAACATTACCTGCGTTCTCCTCTAAGAGATTGGGCAGTGGTAGTATTCCTCCTCAGGCTGTTTGTCTTTCTGGTCCCCTACATGATAATGGCTAAAAATAGAAGAATAATTTGGTGGTTACAGCCTCTTTCTTGAGCTCTTTGGGGGCAAGAATCTTCCCTCCTCCTTCTGTACAAACCTTCAAAGCAAAAGAAGAATGCAGATATTACTGTTAGAAGATGGTAGGAAGAATGTCCCTGTTTAAACTGCTGTATAAATACCCATTGTGGTGGGTACCTAACATCACTGCAACTCCTCTCCTACAACATGCTATTTGTGTTGACATTTTAACATTAATGCTTACATAGACATTTTGTCACAAAGAAATTAAGAGTTCTAGCTCTCTCTCATTGTACCCACTGTTGACCTGGCAGAAGATAAAATGTGCATGTCCTTATATGAAATCTTCCAGTCTCATCCATCCATAACTCTCCAAAACTTTTCTTTTTCCCTTCAATCTAGTCCTGTGATCTGGAGGAAGTGATGATGGATGCTCTGGTCAATGACAAACCAGAATTCGTGAAGTTATTTATTGACAATGGGGCTAACATATCTGAATTCCTGACATATAGTCGTCTGCAGAGACTCTACTGTTCCATTTCTCAGAAATGTCTCCTTTATGAACTCCTACTGAAGAAACATGAAGAAAGCAAGCTGACCTTGTCAGGACCCACTGGCCAACAGCACCAGGAGAAGGAGATGTGCCCACTCTTTACTCTCAGTGAGGTCTCTAGAGTTCTCAAGGATTTTCTCCATGATGCATGCAAAGGCTTCTATCAAGACCTCAGACATGGAGGCAAGAAGAAATCTGTGAGTTACAACCTTCCATCAGTCCTGTTCCCCTCCAATTTAGAATTTAAACAATTTTAACTTGGTCTAGCTGTTTTGGATGGGGCAAGGAAGGGAAGATGAAAGAAACAGTCATTTCAGTTTCTTATTCCTTTTTTTCAGCTCATTATTTTTACAGATAAAATAGTTTGATCTTTTTAATTTCAAAATTTAGAAGGAAAATAAAGGATTTTCTAAGACAGGTTGTGATTCTTCTCCTCCACACATGGGGTTTTATGCAAGGTTTTACTGTTCCTTGAACTCATGCTAAGATACAAGCTCTGTTTAAGGATCTGTAGAGGGCCCTGTACCTCACACTCTTCTAGCCCAACTTCCACAGACCATTCCTTGCTCTAGTACCTTGCACATGGAGAAAAGTTTGTTGATCTTATTAGCCTCACATGCATAAGAACAGATTCAATGAAAGATACATGGGGAATATGGATAGATTTACATTTACTATGGAGTAATTAACAAAAATAGCAGTCTGCATTTTTCAGAGAACTTCAGGCAGAAGTACTTGAAAGACAATACTTTCTAGGAAAAAGACAAGCAGGTGATGGACATTTTCCACCCCAGATCTGAGAATGGTAATCTTTGTCTGTAAAGCTATTCCCAGATTTATAGTGTGTAGGGGTAGATTGGATATTCAATAATGCACAGTACATGATATCTACCTTTAGACCATTATAGTCTTGTTAGTGAGTGACCTAACACACAGAAAGAAATAAGAACGACTGCGTGAAGTGGCCCTGCAAGCACCCTGGCCAACACATGGCAAGTGTAACATCTGGTGGGTACCACTGTGGAAGGTCTGTAGTGGACTTCCGCAATTGTGCCATAGATATATCAGCATTTTTGCATTTAGACAGAATATTTAACATTGAAACTTGTGAGTACCAAAGTTCTTGCAAGAACATGGGAAATAAGTTTGGACACACGATTTCAAAAGAGGGGGGTATAGAGAAATCTTGTTAAGATCAGAGTTTTAGTCAAACTAAACAGTTAAACCTTTTGATATTTGCCAAGTTCTAGTTTCATCTTAAAACTGTTTTATACTAAAAAAAAACCTCTCACTCAAGAGCTTCAATCACTTTTACTCCAGTAAAGCCTAGCTAAATGAATTAGTAATACAAAAAGCTAAGTTTGAATCTAGTCAGGATTTCTTTGTTCACAAGGACAGACAATTTGGGGGAATCCCTTTGAAGTCATTAAGCAGATTCCAGACTTACAAATTTTACAGAAGCAAAAATTTGCTTCTGAATCTCATTTACCTTTGTGGGCTTTGGCAGTAAGTGAGCTAAAGCCAAGTGCTCTAAATAAGGCCCAACTCAGATACCAGATCACACTGCCTACTAGCTTTGTTCCTTTAAAAGCTTATTGCCATGCCTGCTACCAGTGGCTCAATCCCATTATCACTGGCAACAGAAAGAGCTGTACTCAGATACCAGTGTCACTGCTGCTGAATTGTGTGCCTTATTTCAAGTTAAGAACTAGTGGTTACAAAGACTGATGAGGCTTTCAGGATATCTTTGTCTCCTGCAAGGATTTCAATGCAATTCAGGTGATTAAATAGCTCACGACAAACTGAAGGAAAAAAACCAAACCACCAACACCCCCAAAAAATGTCATTAAAATAAATTTGAACAGAATCCCATCATTTAAAATATAACCTCACAAAAAGTTGTTTTATTAAAAAAGAAGAAAAATCCACTCTAGCTGCTTCTAATTAACACAAGAGATATAAATGCAGTTTTTAAATATACTTAAAACTCACAACTTGACCTAAGTTGCCATACTTCCTCTGGAGAGTTTTTTTATCAAATGCTAAAGGAATAGGCATTGTTCTACTTGAAATACTCCCTGCATGAGGGAGAGGTTTCTCAAAGGAAAGAGTAAAAAGAGGGTATTGACGTACTCTATTCTTGTCATGTACAGGGCCTTGGCGAGATTTATTTCTGTTGAAATAAAATGCCTTTTGTTCCCTTCTCTCTGAAACCATGTCCTCTGCGGCAGTTGAGCAGAATCCTGTAAAAGTGAAAGCAAGCTCAGATTAGTTAGTCACAGGTTTGTCTTGTATGATATTACACACCAGCAGCGAAACCCTGAAAGTCAATGAGAGCTTTACCATTGACTTCAATGGATTCATGGTTTCATCCAGAACATTCTCACACATATTGAGTTATATTGGGAACACAAGGGTCCTTTGATTCAGTAGAGAATGAACTAATTACCTCTCAGTCCTACCAAAAAGAAGAAAAAATCAAAGAATATGAAGTAGCTGGCAAGGCTAAGAACAGCTTAGATCATGTTATTTGCATGGAATGAGACTGCAAAGCAGGTTTTAATTTCTACAAACCATATTTCAGGATGAAATTAATACAAAGCGATTACCTGGGCCCTTGGATATGAACGAGAAAAGTGAAAATCCTTGGAGGGATTTGTTTGTATGGGCAGTACTTCAAAACCGGCACAAGATGGCAAACTATTTCTGGGCTATGGTAAGCTTTGAGCTGTAGCTGCTTCAGGAGAAATATTGGCATATTTCAAGTATACAAGATGTTTTTTGCTCAGCCTGGCAGCTCAGATGATAGATAAGTTTGTTTCTAAAGTACGAGATGTGGCATTTATAGGGTCTTTCATCTCTGTGTAGCTCATGCCAGCAAGGGCCAGAGGGCCTGACAGGGAGGGAGAGCAGAGCAACAGCCCATGTACATCAGCACAGCCTTAAACACTGCTGATTAACTTCAGCTGCAGAGTTGGCCCTTCTCTTCTTTGCTGATGATGACTCACCACTCTCAGTCTCAGGTTTTGTTCCTTCTACAATGGGTCAATTGTTTGGGTTCTAGTGCGACAGTGCAATGGAGCATCTTCAGCTTACGTGCTGTATGCATAGGGAACAACAGCATCACACTCTCAAAGGCTGAGCTTCAAGCTGGCATAATTGGCTCCTGTTTTGCAATCCCCCACAACCGAGGCCCTGTCTCTTACATCTGGAGTGCAATGCCATAGCTTCCCTCCCTCCACAGGGCCAGACACAGCTATTGGGCTCCATCCCTGAGCTTCCAGACAGCTGCATCTGGCACTCTTCAGCCAGGGGATGTGTGTGCGTGCAGACACATCTGCACCTTGCAGGGCTTTGTGTCTGTGGAGCCCTCTTACCAGAAGGCATGTTTCTCTGCTGTGTGCCACTGTTGTGCCACTGCCAGCTGTGCTCTCTCTTTTCCCAGGCAGCCTTGTGAAGGTTCTCAGTATAGCCATGTTTGAGGTATCTTGGTACTAGGAGACTGGTTTGCTCTATTTCCATGATGCATTGTTCGCCTTTAAGTCTTTGACTGCTACCCCAAAACAGGTTACCCCTCTAAGGTCAATCAAACCCAGAAGTCTCCAGCCTTATTAGGCACAAGAACTATACGTGGTTTTCAATCCTCAAATATCACCAAAACTGTAGTTTCAATTGACATTTTGTACTTCCAAGTCTGTTTGAGGCAAGATTCTTTGAAATTCTTTGCATTTTTTTTTTTTTCCCCTCTCTCGTTAGAAGTGTTCCTTAGTGAACTCTCCCCAGTTCAGAAATGCTCTCCAGTGAATGGTAACAGCAGCACTTCTTTCAATTCTACAGGGTCAGGAGGGTGTAGCTTCAGCTCTGGCAGCCTGCAAGATCCTGAAAGAGATGTCCCGCCTGGAGACAGAGACTGAAGTAGCTCGTATAATGAAAGAGGCCAAGTATGAGCAGCTTGCTGTTGGTAAGTAACAGCACCTTTTTAACAGCATCAAAAATTTAAGAAGTAACTGCCATTGGATGGCAAGCAAGTGAAAAAAAATACGGTTTCAAAGTTGTAAAAGGTCAACTGACATGAATAATTTAACAGCCTTGCAGCACAGGCAGTCCCAAACTTCAAATACCACAGAAGGACTTAAAACCCAATCATTTTGGAAAAATGAGCGTTCCAAGACTGGCCCTTGGGAATCATGGAAGAAATTACTGTCCTCCTGCATGTTGGCATTTTCAGTATCTGATCTTAGTACAAGGTGTGTTACAGCGATGGGCAAGATAAACAAAACACTTCCAGGCTCACAGCAGCCTGGTTTTTCTGCAGTATCAAGCTTGCTCTGTGAGGGACACTAGAGCAACAAGTTTTAAGGTTTGTCTTCGCTGCTAAAAATAATTCAAGATTACCTCACCCAGAAGAGGGCTAACTGCACTGCAAAACTGCAGTGAGGCTCAGTCTGGTTTCGCAGCAAACAAGCTGCCCCTCCCTACAGCAGTCAGAATTCGGGCATCTGCAATGCCAGAATGCCAAGCTCTCTCCCCTTTGCCTGGTTTAAAACCAGATGTCTGCACACAAACTCCTCTGCTGATCTGACTTCAGTCTAACCTGTACCTGAAGGTAGCTCTGCTGAGAACAGAAGGCTTTAAAGTATGCCACACAGAAACACAGTCTCTTTCCTCTGAGAGCTAGTACATCAAGCAGCTGAAGGCTCATGCAGACATTGCTACGTTATTTACACACAGATCACATTTTCCCCTCTTCTCACAGGACCATTATTATTTACAAAAAATAAAAGTCAGGTTCTCATATAATCTCAGGGCTTGAGTAATTAAGTCATGGAATTACAAGGCCTAATCCAATACACAGAAGTCTACTCCTTGGCTTTGGTAAGTATTAGATCAGATCCTCAATTTTAATTTCTGGCCCGGATAACACTGTCAATATTAAGTAGAGCAAACATTCTTTAAGAACGATAAATACTGCATCAACTGCAAAAGAAGTCTGTATATCAGCTTGTTTTAAGTGAACATGATCCTTCCCCCAGCCCTCACAGTGTTACAACGAGGTGTAGGCTGACCTAGGAAAGGTACTGCCATAACCAAGTGAATCAGCAGAATGAAGCAGACACAAGAAGTCAGATGTTGTCTAATGAGAAAATCTTGACATTTTGAATGTTTATCCTAGTTTCTGAGCTCCAGGACCAGCTTTTCTGGAAACAGAACTACTACACAACACACTACCAAGTCTAATATTATTTTATATGAAATAGCTCTGTGTTAAAACCAAGGATTTGTTGGCTACAAGGCAAAGCTGCGCTGCTGATTTTGTTTAGTCTATTCAGGAGTGGGGGCAGTGTGACAACTCACCCTTCAAAGTGTAAGAGGATCACTGAAGAGATACAGTTTTGTTGGATATGGTCTAAAGCTCCACATGAGGCAGCTACAAATGAGGGACTATAACGAATACTGACATGTTTCCCAGAAGTTTCTTATGCTGTCTGTTGAGGAACTGAGAAAGAAAAGGTTCTCCTCAGATCAAACAATAAGAAAAAAACCCAGAACCCAAACCTGTTAGAGGTCCCAGGCTGAGAAATGAGCATGCGGATAGAAAGAAATAGGAGAGAGGTATCAAGAGATTTACTCCAGATCTTCTTACAAATAGTGGGAATGTTAAAATTACAATGATTTTTTTTTTCACCAAGGCAAAATCTATTTCATCTGGCCTCTGCCCCAACACGTGTACACACATGCATAAAGCCATAGCAAGTTATTCTTGTGTCCAGCAACTTTCCTCTCTCCCTCCCACCTCCTTTTAGCATTATCAGGCTCCTTCCAACTACTTTAGCCTTGCAGAAGTCTCTGGTGCAACAAGGAGCATCTGGCAGTGCTCAGGCTTTGCTGCCACCATGCTGTGCCCTACACAGATCACTCTTACCTTACATTCTTTTTAAAAAATGTTTTCTTTTAAATCACAACATCTGTTTGTCCACGTTTCCTTCATTTGGCAGAACTGTTTAGCGAATGCTACCACAACAGTGAGGAGAGAGCATTTGCTCTGTTGGTGAGGAAAAACCAGTACTGGAGCAAAACCACCTGCCTCCAGCTGGCTACAGAAGCAGATGCAAAGTCCTTCTTTGCACATGATGGTGTCCAGGTAAGTTTGACAGACCCTTCCCTCACCACCTCTAGCCCTGGGGCCTTTCAGCATGATGGTAGACACAGAATAGGATAACACAGCAACTGAACGACCCCATGAAATGTATTCCCCTAAGAGGCATTCTTTGGAGAGGAGACTCTTCCCTCTCCCTAGCACCATATGAGGAGGACACTATTCTGCATCCTTGACAAAACAACAGTTTCCCCCTTCACCTCCCTTTCATCCAGTTGGCTCGCAGACCAGTGCACTGAGGAGGAGGTTTAGCCCCTAATCCATCCTGTGTTTTTTCTTCCTTCCTTGCTCACAGAGAAGCAGCAAGAAAGCACTTTTGCCTGAGGCATAATGAAGCTGCTCTAAGATGTGAGGTAACTCCTTGTTCACATTCAAGGAAGAGCTCAAAGATAAAAGTTAAATCAAATTACTCTTCAGCTTTGTCCTCACAACCTGAGTTCTCTCCACATATACAAAGCTAAATTAAGAGTGATAGTGCTTTTAGCTCCCAGTGCCTGACTTACACTTTCTTAGTGCTACAGATGTTGCTTAATTCTGCTTGACTTGCTGTTCTTTCCACTGTCCTCTTCATAACTCTTTGCATACTCAACAACATCTGCAGAAGGATGCTCAGAGCACCTATTCGCTCTGAAGGTGTGCCTGCTTTAAGTTTCTGGAGCATTCACTGCCTTAAAAGCCACAGAACATAGGTGCACTTCATCTGCATGTATGTTTTTGTGATCTTAAAGCCACCTCTTATTTTCTTGACTTTCAGGCCTTCTTGACAAAAATATGGTGGGGAGACATGTCTACAAGCACACAAATCCTGAAGCTTATCTGTGGATTCTGGTGTCCTTTCCTAATCTACACAAATTTAATAGCATTCAGGTACAAACATAGCTATTTGGGTGCAAGATATAAGTGATGAAAAATGGCTATAAAAAATATCCAGACTCAGAATTTCTCATCTACATGATAAGACCAGTAATATTGCTTCAAAGTGTCAACAGAAGGACTGCACCCCTATTAGCCAAATCATTTTTTTTATGGGACTGAGTGATTTTTATGTTCTGTGCTAGTGCCTATTCTAATAGATACTTAAAAGATCAATGCCAGAGTTTCACATAGATCACTTCTATTTTGCACAGTCCACAGGAAAACCTGTTGGAATTCTGTCAGCTCCAGTTTCTACACAGTAATGTGTAGGATATCTCCAGGTGTAGCACCATCTGCTTCTAGATTTGGAGATGCCTGGTTCAAACCTCAGTATCTTATCTAGAAAAATAGCCATCATAAAGCAGCATTATCAGCCACAAGCCTTGATAACTGTAAGTAAAGCTTAAAAACACAGGACTGACATGAAATCAATTAAGAATTTCAAATTCAACATCTTGAGGTCTCTATTAGTCTTCTGCAGGCATAGCTTTGGAGTTTGTAGTTTTCAGCTTTCTGTCACAGTGAAGATGGTTAGAATCTTAGGTTTTCTTAAAAAACATACAACCAAAAGCAGCCAACAAAAAAAAGCAGCCAAGATGCTCAGCCAGCCATAAGAATCCAGGAACTGAAACTTTAAGAAAACCTTGTAATATTGTGAGAATCATATACAAATCAACAGAATTTGCATTATGGAATGACATCCTATTATGAAATGTATGTTTCTTAAACTGCTAAATTGCTTAAAAGCAAGAGGACAACTTGTTTGGCACTGCTGACTTAAGACTCTCCTTCTGCCGGTATCACTTGTCATAGTGGCTGCCAGATTCACAAATTCAGGTAATCTAATGTGACATTTTGGCAAAGTTTTAATGGAAAGGTTTAAATTATGATTCATAATCAAAGTAAGCCTTTCCAAATTTGTTCTGTGGAGGACATTTTTTGCCTCCTTTCCCTGGAAATACAAGAGTTGACACCGTGTTCCCTACTGCTTCTGGCATTTTCTCTCTTAATTGCTAGTAAGAGTAACCAGGAACAGAGCGCTGGGGTATTGTCTTCTAGGACTGAGGGGTTCATTTCTGCTCAACTCCTAATCTGAGGAAACTGAGCATCCTGCTCCATTTTTGTGAAGCATGCCAATGATTACTTCTCTGAATCTTGCGGGTGACTTCAGCCTTCTCCTTACATATAAACAGAATTTGCAGAGGTAATGATTATGCATTATTTGATAGATTCTCAGTGGAACAAGTCCAGGATAAATCCATGCTAGCAGATCTGTAAGGATGCCAGTTTAGTAGTGGAAAATTGCTAACCATCATCTTTCAACTAATGAGTTTATTTCCTTACAGTGAGGAAAAACAATCAAAGAATGAGTCAGAGCCATTTAGAGAGCTGGACAGTTTAGATACAGAGAGGACTCCATTTTTTTCCAAGGAAGAAGATCGGTAAGTTTAAAACCATTTGTTAATATAACTTTTGTGACAACAATCAAAGAACAAGACACTTCTTGTGGATTGGTGACCAGCTAATGATCTAAGGAGCAGTTGAAGGACCAAGAAAGTCATTGCTCCTCAGAAAGTGCTGTGCTCTGTGATTACTGCTGTTGTTGCTTTCTAAAAAGAACATAGAAATAAGCAGGGATATATCACTGTTTTAAGGATACACAACTTTACTTGTTCTGAGCACGTAATTGCTACAGAACAGGGAATCTGCTTAATACCAGGGGACTCCTGAGATTCCCTTCAGCTTGTGATGGCTGATATACATTGGATTTAGGAACTAAACCCCTATCAGATTACTGAGCTGAGCAGAAAGAAGGTTCTCAGCAAAACCTTACATTATAGGAGTGCATCACTACATGCTTTCCAACAAAGGCAGCAACTTGCAAAAATCAGCACCTGGGAATTTTATATGAAGTCAGCTTCTCACCATACCAGCATTCTTTATTTATATTTTTAAAGATGGGCCCTGAGGAACCCAAAGTACAACACAAACATGAGTTAGAGGAAGTGTTACACAAACGAGTAACTGAGCACAAAGATTTCATCGGTTGCTTGTGGTCATTCATAGATCTGTGATTCAGAACTTCTGAATCCCACCCTATACCTCTGCCACACACTCAGCACCAAAACCTGAAAGGCCACAAGGGCTTAAGTCAGGATAGGAAGAATTTTGATTAGTACAAAGTCCTCTTAATGGCTAAACAGCCACTTGTATTAAGCATGTGTTTTCAAATAATTTAAAGAGAACTTCAGAAATATGTGAAAAACAGTAGTGAGGAAGCATCATCCTTAATATGAACTGCTGGACCAAGTCAGAGTTATTAGGTTCTATTTTTACCTCTGTCATTTAACTGCCAGTATATTGGAGAAAAACATTAGTTCTTCTCTCTTCCTCCCTAACCTATAAAACAGGTGTAAAAGCATCTGCCTCTTGGGAGCTATTTGTAAGCAATGTCATAAAGCACTTCCATATCCTGAGTGAAGCGTGGTTTGGTCATTACACTGTGTGTTCCAATTGCCATTATCTTAGCAATTTATTTTAACAAAGAGGCTCTCTCCCTCCCAGATCTATTTCAGCATCTTACAGTAAAACTGCAATTATCCGTTTCTGATATTAGCCTGTTACCATGGGAACATATCTTATGATGTCATAAGATGAGAGGTAGTACAGAATCAGGCACATAGAAAAGACTGGCTGTGAGAAAGAACTTTTCCTTGTAACAAATGTATTTAATAATTAGCAAGGATGTCAGGGGAAATTAAAAACCAACAAAGAGTCATTGTTTGTTTTTTTGCAAGGTGAAATCAAAAACATACCCTAGTGTGCACATCCCTTGCTACATCATCACACCTCTCAGAGTCAGAATCACAAAATTAAAGATACAATAACATCCCTAGTTTACACAGGAGAGCAATTTATGTGGAAACAAAACCTCACACTAAGATCAGATTGCTATCAAATACAGGGAACTTGCATTTTCTGCACAGGATAATTTCCATTGCCAGTAGATAGCACTTCATGTTTCAAACACAGCAAAAACAACTGTAGATGCACAGGTCAAATTTCCCTTCAGTTACCAGAACACTTGTGTAATTCCACAATAGTCAAAGACTACCTTAATAAATAATCTGTGAGGTCAACTTTTTCTACTAAAAGGTTTCTATATTACTTTTTCTGCATTTTATTCTAATTTAGTTGTAAAGGGCGAGATACCAGTGCTTACAGTTGCGTCAAGGTCTAAAGTATTCCTTCACTAGTTCTCTCAGACTCCAGTAAGGATAGTCAAGTAAAACAACGCTTAGCATGATCCAGCACTTTAAAGACTGGGTCAAAAAGAGGAATTGCCTAAAGTCACAGCAACAACAAGAACTTCTGCATGCAAACGCTACAAGAGTTTTTTAGGGCCAAAATAATTGAGAACTGACTCACAACCTGCATTGGCCATTTTGCTTTTCTTACCTATTATTTAGGAAGATGAAGAGCAATTAGCCCACTTCTCCCTCTCCCTGTGTGTTTGTACTACATGCAGGAACACAATGAAGTTACAAATCAAATTAACACAACAAAACTGAAATAACAAGAATATGCATTTAGGTCCGATATGGCTTTGTTTTTCAAAACCTTCTTTTTGACTTGAAATATTTCTGCTATGGTAATGAGATTGCTCTGGCTTCTACAGCCTTCCTCCCTGCCGCCCCCAGCATCTGCCTGTTACTATCTTACCAGAAGCTTTGTATAGAATAACACTGAGTTCCCATGAACTAATTTTATGAAGTCATCATCAAGCCTATATTCTTCTTGTTTTGCAGAGGAAATGGTAAATTGGAAAAGCAGAACCCTTCTGAAAACACAGCGTGGGCAACATTCACATTTACTCGGTGGAGAAAATTCTGGAGTGCCCCTGTAACTGTATTTATGGGGAATGTTATAATGTACTTTGCTTTTTTGTTTCTATTTACTTATGTCCTTTTACTGGACTTTAAGCCACCTCCACCTGAGGGTCCATCTGCTAAAGAAATTATACTTTACTTCTGGGTTTTTACCTTGGTCTTGGAAGAAATCCGACAGGTCAGTTACCTACAATGTTTTAGTAATAACACAGTAAAACTTGAAGCAATATTTTGAATAGATTTACAACCTGTATAACTGTACAAGCTTGAAGATTTCAAGTACCAGGTGCAGTTTTGCACAGAAGAGCAACACAGACCTTACCTTATCCAGAGCACTCCACCTCTCTCTCCCAGGGCAAGCTCTTCCTCCACCATATGAACCTGTAGCTCCACCTCTGTTTTTCCATCCTGCTCCAGCTGTAGCTAAGTCAAGCAAGCAGCTAAGATTCAGGTGTCCTTCACTTTGCAAAGTGTCCCTCTGATTTAATTCCCCAGAACTCAGTCCTCCCACCACAAATAAAGTAAGTTGGAAGTTATATTCTATACCTGGAAACACAGCAGACAACTCTACATCATTTTAAGATATTCTTTCCCATTGGGGAATGTTTAAAAGAGCCAAGTAAATTAATTCAGATTATTTGTGTTTTTCTTAATATACTTCTCAAACCATTAGCAGATGTCTTTTCGGTTTGCTTTTCCTAAAAAAACCCAAAACAACAAAAAAAAACCCCTTCTCTATTACTCTCCCAGTTATTGGCTTTGGAATGTCCTCAGCTCCAGAACTGAAATAATGTGTGAACAATGGTGCTAGTGTGTTGCCAACTGTGGGTGCATAAAGCTGCCCTCTTTAGACACAAAAAAGCAGTTATAAACATTTACTCTAGAAGAACAATTAGGTGTTCATTATTTAAGCAACAGGAACAGTGAGGGGGTCCCAGTTTGTTACAATTTATTTGAAATTATGCAGCAAGGCCATAACCAGAGGAGGACATGGAAAATATTTGGATCAAAGAACATTTCATTATAAGCCTGTAAAACATGAAGAGTGCCAGGCTAAAACTGCATTAAGACACCCAACGTTTTACCTAGATAATCAAATGTGCACCCACTGACAATTCCAGTATACAGATGCCAAATCTGTTCATGCTGTTTAGGTAGCAATGTCTAGCAACTGAACTTTGACTGGAAGGTCTTGTATTGTTTAACAGCCTGAATGCTGACAAAATCTTAAAATCAGGCCTCAAAAATTCTTAAGGCTAATACCACAAGAACAAAAATATTTTTTTTTCTTTTTCATCCAACTTTTGTGTTTTAAGGCAGTAAAACGAGCTTGTTTTCAAGCATTTTTCCCTATTACACAAGGCATTTCTTTTTGCAATGGAAGAGCAAAAGGAAACAGGAACTGTGTTAAAACTCACAATGAAATAGTGAAACTGGAAACAGATCAATACCAATGATTATTTCTCTTTTTCAGAGTTTCTATACAGATGAAGACACAAATTTAATGAAAAAAATTAAACTGTATGTGGAGGATAACTGGAATAAATGTGATATGGTGACCATATTCCTCTTCATAATTGGGGTCACCTGCAGGTACATGTCTGTTCCATGTTCCATGTTCCATGTTCCATGTTCCAGGCTCAGTAGCAAGGGCTATGTATGTCAACTGACAGGACAGTCTCCTGTGCACATGAGGACAGGTGTGACATTTACTTTTACATGCTTTGAGATGTGTTTCTGCAATGAAAGCCTCTGAAATTCTGTGGAATCATAGGAGTTGCTCCAGAGACCACAGAAAGTCACATTGGTATATTCAAACACATGTACATAAAAGCTCTGGGGTTTTTGTTTTGGCAATCCCTTTACTCACTGTATAATATCTCTTTTTTATTATTTTTTTTTTAATAAATCTCATTGAAGCCAAGACAGAGAATACAGTGTCCCTCCACCTTTTGGCTATTTCGCACTGATGTACTGACATTATGTTAGGTTCCTCTGACAGGCTTATGCAACCACAGCCCTGAAGCACTTTCCTTTTTCTAACTAGGCTATGCCTGGAAACTGAGTGTAATATTTGAGAAACTACTTCTCAATGGTACTTGTTGAGATCTGATATTTCATTTCATGTGTTCTGCAGGATGCTGAACTCGACTTTTCAAGCTGGCCGAACAATACTTGCCATTGATTTTATGGTGTTTACACTTAGACTTATACATATTTTTGCAATTCACAAACAACTTGGACCAAAGATCATAATTGTGGAAAGAATGGTAAGTGTGCAGACTCTTTCAGATAAATACTTGTGCTTTCAAAAAAATGGAGAGTAGGAAATCTTCTCTTTACAAAGGAAAGCAGTTTATAATCTTTATTTTTGTATTTTTAAGGCTTGTCATTTTGCATATATTCATTTATTTAGCATGAATATTAGATGCAATGAGTTTGAAATAGATCCTTCCAAAGAGCTCTGTAGTTTAACAAGCTGGTCCCAATTTACTAATCCTTGTACCTTACCTAATCATTTATTCTCAGATCTGGCAAATGAAGAGTAGTGTCTGATTTACTGCTATTCCTCCCACTTCATAAGCTGTGTGCATGCAGAGCAAAGACCCCATACAGATGACAAGCCATTTACAGAAGGGCAGGGCATTAACTGAACGACTCTGCTCTGCTTGGGGACATAGATTACATTATTTGCAAGAAGTGTGAAAAAAAAAATCTGTGGAAAAGGAGAGTTGCAAGTTTCCCACAGGAGTTACTCTTACTTATGCTTTGTAGCTCCAAGTTACAATGAAACCATATTAGTACTTTGTGAGCATATGTTGGAAGATGTTGATAAAAGATCTTTATTTATTACCACTCTCCTGCAGGAAATGAGACATTAGGACTACGGTTACTGTGCTTGGGTATTCATTGCTATGTTAAAGTAGCGTTTTATTTAGGCATGTTAATCCTCTAGGCCAATTAGCTCATGGTAACTGATTAATAGGAGTTCATCTAAGTGTAGGTGCTATTATAGAATCTACAAATATTTGATTTGTGACTCACAGCAGAGCTCAGTAAAAGCCCTACAGTCTAAACAAGCCTATACATTGAATAAACATAACTACCAAGCTATTTGGATTTGTCTACAAATGCAATAACTGGAACTCTAACATGACATTTGCCTGGAGTAGCAAAAGGGTAGATGGCAAATAAATATTTGTTCTTGAACATTATCTAGCTTACAGCATTAGCAGACTTATATTGTAAGAGAACAAGTCAAATCTACAGCTCCTAACCCTTTCTTGCTGCTTACCAAGCTAAACCAGGGCCTTGAACAAATACAGGGATGTGTCTACTATGTTGGCATCTGAAATCATGTGAGATAACACACAGATTAAGAAGATGCAAATAAGAACATAAACAACAGCCTAGACAAAACCATAAAATGGGACCTTTCATCTGCCCCCATCCAAGCCAACATATTGCCTTAGCATTGGTGGTTCAGTGTTGAACTTTACATCAAATGAAGGAACAGTGAAAGTTACTTCGGTAAATGATACCTTCTTGAAAGGTTCATCAGGTGGGTTCAAGCAAAGACCATTTCCCTTACTTAAACAGAGAAGCAACCCAAGATGGTCTCTTATTGTCTTTCTCCTTTTTAACCTTGCTACAGAATTGCTGAAACAAGTCTGGCAGCTGCTAAAACGGCAGTTCAATGCCAGGGCAATGCCTGTTCAAAGAGGGACTGCAGGTTGGAAAAAAATATTTCTAGACTCACCACCATTCTCTCTTACACCATTACTGTCCTGCAGCATTACCAGAAAACAAAATAGATTGGTGAAAGTCTGAGAGACATCAAGTATGTCTTGCCTGACTGAGATACTGTGTTTCTTAATAGAACTCCAAGTAACATCTTGGAGGTCTGAAATGCCTATGCTTTTGGGTAACTGCACAATCCAATAATCTAATTGAATCTCCAGACCCTAATGAACTCTGTCAGATTAGATGGGAAGAGGATGAAGTGTTCCTCTTCCACCAGGGAAAAATTAATGCACTTGAAATACATATTAGGTTTTATTTTTTTAAGTAAGTGTTTTAGGATTTGATTACTTCTGCTTCTGTAGAGAAACACAATGTTTAAAAGCAGGAAGTCCTGAAAACAATCCCTCAGATGCATTACTTAGCTTGAAAACCCAAGATAGAAGCTACCTGATCCTTGCAGCTTTCAGTCTCTGCTGTATCAGTAGTTCAGTATTCATCAATGAGCACTGACTATTACCAGGATTCACTGCTGCAGCAGCAGTCTTGTAATTCACAGTAAAGCAGTTGATGGCTCTCACAGAAAATCTGCATTTAAAACGTACAATGAGATTCACTTAAAAGATAGAATGTGTTTCATTTCTAAATGTTAGATGATTGAAAAGCAAGGTTTTGATTTAAAACAAATGCCTTTGTCTAAATGACCTACCAAAGACAAATACTGATTACAGGTCAAGAACAATTTAACAACAGCAAGGTCAGAAGAGGAATTCTGTGCATGGAGCTGTATCCTATTCCACTTCATGTAACCTAAACAAGCTTGTAAAGAAACAGAATTATCTGAGCAGTTTTCACATAGAAAGACTACCACTCTTTGCCTATGCTATTACAGTCACCTCTCCTTTTCTCCCCTCCCCCTCTCTTTTTTAGATGAAGGATGTTTTCTTCTTTCTGTTTTTCTTGAGTGTGTGGCTCATTGCCTATGGTGTGACAACTCAAGCTCTACTTCATCCCGATGACAGCCGAGTGGAATGGATATTCAGAAGGGTGCTTTATCGTCCCTACCTTCAGATATTTGGCCAGATTCCACTGGATGAAATAGACAGTGAGGAAATTTCTTCCCTCCACCTAACGTCCATTTTTGAATGCACACTTCTGATTAGAGCATAGAATTCCCAGTATTGTCTTTTTTTTCTTTCTCCATCTTTGTCCTGCAGACCAAAGCTTTCACATTACTATGATATAAATAGTGTATTTGCAAAGAGCTAATGTGAATTGTGGAATTACAGTAGAGCATAGGGTTGGCCCTATTTAGACAAGCTCTCTGAAATATTCACACAAGGATTTGCAGTTTTAAAGGCTGGCACACCTTCTTTCACTTCAATCCATTTCCATTCAACCATTTCCATTTCCATTTAACCTAGACCCAGATAACCCTGTGTAAACTGAAATAATAGCATCTCCATACATTTTGGCAGTAGTTTTAACGTGGCAGTGTTAAAGCAGTACAGCTCTGCCCATAAGCAAACACTTATGTTTTAGAATAAATATTCTTCTGGAGCATTTATTGACTCTGAAGGTAAAGCTGCCCAAATCAAATAAAGCTATTTATTGCGTATGTGCAACATTTCAAACAAAACAACATAAAAATAATAACAAGACACAGAAATATGTGGGCATAAAAGTTCAAAGGCAACGTTTTTGGTAGGTAAGCAAGTAAAATACAGAATAGGTCATCTCCCAAATAACTGAAGTAAAGCTGTAGCATTAGCCAGAATAACTGTGCTAAATGTCAGTGATAATATTGAAGTAGGATTCAAACTTGATGTAATATAGATGGAACAAAAAAAATCCCATAGGCAGAAGCAAACCAGTAAGCATTCTTTCAAGTTCACTCAGCTTAATAAGAAAAGGCATATGTCTATAGAAAAGCCAAAAAATTACTTAATTGCCTATGGTGTAAGCATGCACAGCACAACCAGTCAGTCTTATTTCCATTAAAGTAATTGGAGAGAAACAAATATTAATGGAATAGGATTAATCTAATTTGGAAATAGGTCAGATGTAGCATTCCCTAGAAATATGTGTTTCTCTCCATTGAGACTCCAAAGAGTATTGTCACCTGGACAAATAACTGGTTGAAAAACAGAAAAAAAAAAATTAATTACACAGGCAACTTCCAGAAGGGAGTCATTTGTTCTGGGGCTCTCTGGGGCTTATTCTGTTTGACATCTTTATGAAACATTCAGAAAAGGAGGTGGGTAATGAGGAGGACAAAAATTGCTGACAAAACTACATTACTGGTTAGTAAAGACTAAAGCAGGCACCTAAGAGTTGCAAGAGGGCCCTCGTGAGTGCTAAATCATCAAATGAAATTCAGTGTAGATAAATGTAAGGTAATGCACTTGGTGTAAGCAGTCCCATCTGTGGTGATACAACTGCATGCTCTAAGGATTATGATTGTGCGGTTATCCATGGCAGTAGGGGAAAGAATTATTAGTGAAAAAATGGAGAACAAAAAAAGTAAATAATCATTATGCTAGTCTTAATCTGTGGATTTAATTCATAGCTGGAGACAGGCAACATGGCTAGACCTCTAGTCTGATGCAGCAGAACCATTCTTACTAATCTTGACTGCAAGTTCAGCTGTACAAAGTAGTTTAAATTTAGAATGAGGAACCCCATTCCCAGCTTTTACTGAGTTTTCTCCTCTAACATGCATACCACCATGAGGATTGCAAAGACAAGTATGTGGGGGAACACAACTGCTAAATACTCAAAGGTGGTTTGACTTTGGAACTCACAATTAGGCTAAAAAGAATATAGCCCCCCTTTGCTGAATGTTACTAAAAAGCCAGCTGTGACAGCCATGTTGCCCCTGAATGAGCAGCCAAGCTCTGGAGGTCTGCACTGTCCTAGGCTTGCAAACCTCTTGCACATTAAGGCAATGTCTCTTCATGTACACAACATTATTACATTTTCACAAAATTAAAACATTGGATATTAGTTCACAGAAATGATCTTTCAACTGCAATAATTAGCTCAGTAGCTCAAGCAGTCAAAGAACTGTCCTTTTAGGGTTAAGAGAGTCTCATGGTCCTGCTAGCAGTCAACAAGGGCAGTACAAAAATACTACCACAATATTGAGTTTAATATTTTAATAATTGTAAAAAAATTACACTGATGGTTATATGCAGCCAAGACTAAATCTCATTTTTGTAATCAGTATCATCATTGTCCTTGATTTGTATCTTAACATTAAAGGCACATCCATCCATGTCACTAGTTCTTAAAAAAAAGACATGTTTAGAGATACTCAGTTTTTATTTGCATTGAAATAGCTATAAAATGCATTACTTCAAACCTTGAGAACAATTTGTAATTTTTGCCATATGTTGAGTCAGAGATTTTGCTCACCAAAATGCAAAGATTTTGTCTCTACTCTAAGAAGTAAATGTGGCAGCAGGATTTGTCAAAACTATTATTTTATTTCTCTATCTTCCTTTGCAGCATCACGAATACATCCCAGGAACTGTACATTAAATCCACTGCAGATTCTGCAGGAGAACCCACCATCATGTCCTAACAGCTATGCCAATTGGCTCGTCATACTTCTGTTGGTCATCTTCCTTCTAGTCACCAATGTCCTCCTTATGAATCTCCTGATTGCTATGTTCAGGTAAGAGCCATTTCAGTAATTATCAAGACAGAGGCTGCAAAGGTTTAACTGAACACCCACATTTACTACATTGCTGTTGGCTGTTCATTTTGGAATACACTAGTAATTTTCCAAATTAATATTATTTGGGGATTGATAAATGGACTTCTGTGATCATACAGTTCTTAAGTTCTCATCGTCCTTACTCTAGCCACATTAAAGACAAGAAGAAAAGAAGCTTTTTTTACTGCTAAACATTTGATTAAACATGTGTAGAAGGGTCTGGATCCCTGGCTGTGCTGCACCACAAGTTTGCAGGTGCAAAGCAGCTGTAAACTTGACAGATTTAACAGAGGATAATCTGCATACAAGGGAAATGTTTGATGTCAGCACAGCTAATAATGATTCATTTGGTTGAAGAACTGACATGGCATGTTCAGTGGTCTTGCCTGAGTGAAGTGGAATTACCTTTATTTAAAAAAAAAAAAAAATCTAATGTATTTTTTAACATTTGAAGACTGTAACTGCAATAATTTTAATATCTAAGAATTTACACTAATTTTAGATTAAATTAACACTACTTGATGAGCTTGCTGTTCCTTTTTTAAAGTAAATATGGGGCTAAATTTTGTAATAAGCTTTAGCTTGTTGTGGTAAAAACAGTTATCTACTTTCCCTCCCCTTTCTTATCCATTTTATGGCTTCCTGAATAAAGTCATGCTATTCAATGAACAATGTTGACACCAAATACAGGTCCAACAGGAACACACAAGAAATGCTTTAATAACTTTGTGCCAGCTTGAGATAATGCAATATACTCACAAAAAAAAGGAAGGTATTTAATACAAATCTTCCTCCAACAGTTCAGCTATATCTCTTAAAAAAAAAAAAAAA